CCCCAAAACCCCAAAACCCCTGATTGGCAAAATGATAAATAAATTAGAATTCCATCTATAAATTAATTAAATAATTTCCGAATGAATTCCATGGATCACTAAATGAATAGCGATGAAGAGGTAGGCTTAATTTAATATCTTTGACTAATTAAACTAGGATGAAATGTTTGTGCAGCAACAGTCTTAATTAGCATTCGCAAAGTACGGAAATGTAAAGAAGAGCCCTATGATAGCTCCAGAGGTAATTTATTATTCAAATAAAAAATCTCTTAATAGAAGAAGAAGTTCGATTCCGGTGATTATTTCATGGAGTATGAAAAGCTTCGCTAAGCAGCAGGTTTATCATCAAAGGACTAGCAAACCACTGGCAGTATAGAACAGGATTAATAGCAATGAAAAGACATTAAGTGTGAAATCGTATCTTAGTTCGTTATTCGCACAAATCAACATGTTAACATACTTTTTGAGAATTTTATAGTTTAATGTTATATCTAAGTGTTAACTGTATTTTCTATATTAATCTAATATTCATCAAATGAATCATCTAATACTTAAAATATATTCAAGTTCCTAATATGTAACTCTAGAGAAATGGCTTTATTATTGTAATTGGAACAGATTAAGCAAGTGTTTTCTATGCAGCATATGAAGAAATTTTCCCATCTTTATATTATAGTAAATGATTCTAAATTATTGATCAATGTAGGACATTTATTTTATTGACATAATAAAGAATATAAATGACGAAATTAAACAGTAGAATTGGTTCAATCTTTGACTTTTTAAAGAATGAACAAAATAGACATTAAAATTGATAATTTAGACAAATATTATTATGATATATTGTGAGGACAGAAACTAGAGTAAATAAATTAGAAATTATAAGTATAAAATAATAGATCTTATGTGGGAAAATTAGATCTTATCATTAAGGTATCATATCATATGGTTTATACTGGTCCAAAATTTCATTTAAAATAATGGATTATATACCACCTTAATGATTTCTGCTTCATATTTGATATTATAGACTGCATGATTTGGAATTTGGATCTAGATTAAAGGGTAAATTGGAGTTAATTTTACTTGATCATTAATGATAAGATTAAGGCAAGAATTGAAGTTCCTAGCTATTTAAAATGCATGCCTAATTGTTTTACTCTTAGAATGAACTTTCTCTGTTGAAGACTGCACTTGAACCTTCAGAGTAAAGGTTATTACCATTTAAGTTGTAGAAACTTCCCTCAATTAAGTTGCTATTATGTTAGAACTAATCTCTATAAGGACTAGTCAAGTTATATATCTTAGAAGGGATTTATTTGATATGAATATTAATCTTGGCTGAGTTTTAATTGCTACTAAAGATGTCAGAGTTCTCATTATTACCCTCATCCATGCTTTTTTGTCTGAACAAACTCTTTTGATGAGGCCTAAATCCTTGCTCCCCTTTCAAGTTCTAGAATGGATACTCTAAGAATGAAAGATTATTTTTCTATTATTCTCTTGGTTGAAAAGATTAATTTGTTTTATTATTTATTTTATTTTCCTAAAGGTTCTGTCTAATTTAACTGAAACTCCCTGTCAAATTACCTTTATTCTATTCATTACTCATGAAACAAGAATGGGATCTATGATATTATATTTGAGCACTTTCAGAGCTAATGATCTTAGGTGAAAACTTTTTGAATTTATTGCTGATCCCTTACAATTATTATTGAATCTTAAGTGGTTAAAGCTACTTCTTTGCCTATGCATTTAGTTATATTTTTTCATTTTTTTCTTCCTAATGTATTTGCTACTATGTGTGATGAGTAGATACAAATTCTTAATTTCTCATAAATTATGTAAGCTCTTCTGAAAAAATGCTACTGATATCGTCTTCTCTGACCTTTGTAAATCCTAAAGCTTTCAGTAGATGATTTTCATTGATGATCCTCAGTTTTTTGTCAGAAAATATCTATACACTCTAATAGTTTGGGTCAGTTTTTAGTTCTATTGATCCATTTTTGCTTTCCTAAATAAGAAGTAGAGGTAAGAATAACTTTTCAGTTGAACCCGGATGACTTTCTGTCTGAGTTCTCTCTTCAGCAGTTGTCATAGCCTATTCAGATTTGGGAGACTCATGTTCCTCAGCTTTTAACTAAGGAGATGTTTTTTTATCTTAATTTTGCAATTCATTAGAATTTACCCTCTAAATTTGTCTCATCGATTAATCAAAATTTCTATCCATCAGCTTCTATATAGCAACTAATTAAGTTATATTTTCTAATAGCAACTCCTGCTTAGACCTTATTCTATTCTCAATCTCTTCAATCTGTTTTTTTTGTTTTCCCTTTAGATAATTATTATTTATTTTAACTTATCCTTACAATAAAATCCTCAGTAATTTGTAATTTCAGAGAAGATTTGATCGAATTATTAGTCTCTATAGGCACCAATGTATTCTTACTGTTAAAGAATATTTGATTTTTGTCCTTTTTAATGATTTCCATTGCATTCAGCACATTCAAAGCATCATAAACTCTTCTTTGCACATTCTTAAAATCAACTTTCTAAGTCAAGCATTAAGATTAGGTATAACTTACTTCACTAAATTATTTGTATAATTCAAGAATTTCATTGGCAATTTGGGTCCCTGTGGTCATAGGTTTTTCTCTGATTTTCTCAAGCACTGATCTACTCAAAAACACCAATTTTTTATCTTTTTTCTTTTCTCCTTCTTCAAACTCTCCTTCACAATCATCTTCATCTATTTCAAAAGATTCCTCACTTTTGTCTTCTTCTTATTAATTTTTATACTTCTATATTATTTTTTCTTCTGCTTAGTTTTATTTCATGTCAGTCCTAATTCTCTTATTAGTTTCAAACCCAATATCCATGACATTACTTGCTCTAGAACCAGAATTTCTTTTTGCCAGTTTTATTTTACTTTGCATCTCTACGCAATTTTAGTCCACTTATCCATTACTAATATTTTGCTTTACTAGCTTATTTTACTATTTTCTATTTAATTATACTTTTCTTTACTACGCTATTTCAATCAACTTTTCTTTCTCTTAATTAAGATGACTGTTTTATTTCTCGTGCTTTTGATGGTGCTATGATTTTGTCTCAGCTAGATTTAGTTGATCAAATTTCCTAATTTTTCTCTCAGTTATTGAGCATATTCTATTTCTTTCTTTTTGACCAAAGTCAGGAGTTTCCTGTAGAGTTTAATCATTGAATGTAGATTTGTCTGGCGAATCCAGCATTTTAAATGTCTAACTCTCCTCTTTATCATGGTGATTTGTAGTCTGATTAGTTAAGAAATTTTACTGTTATTTGGACTATTACAGTGGCCTGCATTATTAATTTCTTTTCATTCTAAATAAAACTAAAATTATTATATTTATAATAATCTAAATACTCATTTAAATCGATAATTTAGCATTAAGGGGTTTTGGGGTTTTGGGGTTTTGGGG